AACAAGGGAAGTTGGCTTCACTGCCTTAATTCCAATAACCATTATTACTTTTGTTTTGTTTTCGTTTCGTTTCGTTTCCCATATTGAATAAAATACGAATAGAAATATGGTGAAAGAATATTCTTTTACCCAGAATAAAAGAATGAAAATAAATGGTCAAGATTGATTATAGCCAAGTAGGAAAATACAAAACAAAAAAACAAAAATGAAAATCTTTGGGCTCATTCAAAGAAAACAATATGGTTTTTTTGTTTCTATTCTAATACATAAATAAAGCTGTGAAAAAACGAAAAACGAAGAAAAATTTTGCTACAGTTGTTGTTGTTGTTACAATGTATATCATTCTAATTATGATAATGATGATGATGATGATGATAATAATATTTTGATAATCAATCGACCAAATCTAAAGTAAAGTAAAATGATGAAGTAAGTAAGTAATATATATCTAATTTATTTCAGAAGAAGAAACAAAAAGAGAAATAAGTTTTTCTTTGTTGGTATTTTGTTTTTGTTGCATTTGGATTCTTTTCAGCTGAAAATATGTGTGTGAGAAAAGTGAAATGGTTATGTTATGATGATCATATCGGTAAAATCAACTGACTGGGCATAATTTATCAAAGAAAAAAAGAAACGAAAAGAAATAGGAAGAGAAGAGAAAGAATGTTGAAACTTTTTTTGCATTTGTTTCTTCGTTTGTTTGTCCATTATGGGGTGATTATAAAGAGAAAAAAGTGATCAGAAAAAATTTGTCAATTTTCAATCAAATTTCAAAAAAAAACTAAAATAGTCAAATGATAAGCGACAGAATCAGAATGACTATTTCAGATTTCATTGTGTGTGTGTGTTGGTCAGTTTTTTTTTGTGCATTGACAAAATCGATATTTTATTACAACCTAGATATATACAATGTTTCACATTATCGACATATATTGAATATTGAATTTCAATCAACGATGATATATCCATTGATAATAATAGAGGTCTGTGTGTGTGTGTGTGTGAATAATTTCAACATCGAAAAAAAAAATCTGTCGAAACATAATGATGATGGTGATATGCACGAAAAGTATACGACAATAAACCTTACTGACCAAAAAAACAGCCAAACGATAAAACAGATTCGCCAAGTAAATAAAAAACGTTTTTTTCTTTTTATCACTGTCTATCTGACCAAACAAACATCCAACACAGAAAAAAAAAGAGACCGAATATTTGCCTGTGTTATTACCAAACTAACAACAATCGTCTTTTTTTTCTTGAAAAAGATTGAGATATAAAAAAAATCGAAAAAAAAGCAAAAAAGAAAAACGGATGGTCCAAAAAAAGTTTTTGTTGCTGCTGCTGCTGCTGTTGAAAAACTTTTCAAAGAATTTTTTGACAATTTTTTATTTCATTTTTTTTTCGTATATTCAACACACACACACACACACACAGAGAGAGATAGACAAGTTTTTTTGGTTCTCCCAAAGATGAAGAAAAAAACCTATTAGTTTGGTTGATTGGCTGCCTTGAGTTTTTTTTTGTTGTTCAACTTCAAGAGTTTTTCTTGTCCATAAAACGATTTAACCTCACATCAACAAAGAACAGAGAAAAAAAAACTTTGTACAACCAACCATCATTCGTTCGAGAATAGAGCCATTTTGATTATTGACATTCCCTATCTGAAAACTATATTTTGAAATCAAAAAAAAAGTTCATTTTTACAGAGTGTAATGATGATGACCATTCAGTAGATGAGATGTTATGAATATTGAATTCAAAAGGAAAAAAAACGATTACAACAAGAGGAACATTACAGTGATGTTTTCAGTGATGCGCTTATCATAGTTGTCATCAACATGTCGATCAAATTGATCGGAATTATTATTATCTCTACCATTCTTTTTTTTATGGAGGAGTTATCATCATTATGGCTAGCTATTTGTATAATGTCAAAGTAAATTTAAAACAATGAAAAAACAAGAAACTTTCCATTAGTGAATTTAGTTGAGAAATATGATTATCTCTTCGACAAGAACTTCAAAAAAAAACCAGAATTTTTTTGTTTTGTTTTTCCATTTTTATTATTGACTTTGGGATTAACCCTTGAATATCAGAAACATGGGAAACATCATTGAATTTTTTTTGTGTGTGTGTGTGGAGAAAATCCCGAAGAAAAATTTTTTCAAAAAAAAAATCTAATTAAAAATCGCTCAATTTGAATTTGAATTTGAAAATTGAAAAAATTAATTGTTTTTTGAAAAACAGAAAAACAAACCAGGGAAACAAATCCGGGAAAATATACCAAATCTAACAATATCTGTCCAATTTCATCATTTCAATATTTCATAAATTCAGGGACAGAAAGAAGATGGATTGATTTTTTTTCTCTGTTTGTTTTGTTTTGGTTTGGTTTGTGTGTCATTAGTTTATTATTACAGACAAACAGAAACAGAAACGAAAAAAAATATTGTTATCTCTTAACACAGACACACTGTGGAAAAGAAAATGAAATGAAATGAAAATTTCCAAAACGTTATCTATGTGAAAAGATAGAACGATGAATGGCGAAAAAATTATCATCATCATCATGAATCAAACAAGACGAAGAAAATGTTTATGTTTTCATAATAATAATGGAAAGTAAATGTTTTCCTTGTTGTTGATCAAACTAATTAATGTCAAAACAGAAGAAGAAGAAAAAAACATTGTTGTTACGGTATGATGATCTTTCTCTCTCTCTCAATGTATGTATTTCATCTTTAGGAATCTTCTATGTAATATTCCAGTTTTGGTGAGATAATATTCACATGTTTTTTTTTACTTTGGTATTCATCATCTTTTCGGTTATTTTCATTTTGTTACTTTTCTGGTTGTTTTCTGCAAAAAATGAATCATGAATTAAAATGTCAT